ATAGCAGATACTGCATTTGCTTCAAAACTGAATTTTGTCATAACATTTACAAGATAAGCTATTCTCTGTATTATTAAAACTCTTTGCCAGATATATATTGGTGAGCCTACTCTGCAGTAATTCTTTGAGGCATCCAGCATACCAGAAAGATATGTTTAAGACACAGCTTCTGTATATTCTAATTTCTGTGTGTATATTTGACTGCAAATTATGCCCGCTCTGTTTTTTTTTTTTCCCTCATTTCAATGTTATCACTGACAATTTTTTGGGAGGCATTGCTGCCTTTGAAGTTTATAAGGATCACGCCTGAAGCAATCATCATGCATTGTGTGTGCACATGTTAACTTGTTCATTCAAACTGTTCTTACCCTTAAGCATGTAAATTCTTCTGTTAGGTTAGAATTAAACAACATCATTCAAGAGTTACCTAGATCAAATAGGTAACTACATTACTACCTGTCTGGGAGTGATTGTCCAGAATAGTACTTTTATGATTTTCAAAAAGTTTTAAGTTACGAAACTTAAATCTACTTGCACTACTCATGTTGAACAGAGCATTGACAACTGTAAGGGAAGTATTTTTACTTAATTGTTTAAAATTTAGGCTCACTTTGTAAACAATAAATACATTGACAATAGAATAATAAATATTTAGTAATAACACAAGTAGAATCAGGCAGATGTTTGCAATACAGTAGTTTCATGTTTACATATTTGTGAACTAGCATCCCAGTGAATAAGGAAGCATTTCATCCTCTTATGCAATAAGCATTCTTTGAAATGATCTCAAAATTTATTGCACCAAATTCACTAATCTTAATTTGTAACCAGGACTCTACTCCTTCCATTGTAATATAAAGGGACAGAGGATCTGCCTGAAATTTATTCTAGAGATTAATTCCTTTTTAGGAGGTCTGCTGGATGACGCAAAGTTGCTGCAGTAGTTGTAGCAATTCTGTTATCAGTTTGCACAGAAGTCTCTTCGATTTCCAACAAGCAAAAGATGAAAGATAACTGGAACATTCAGTGACTTTTTTTTTGTTTATTTGCTTTTTACAGTTATTTTATGCATTCCAAGATGACCGTTACCTTTACATGGTGATGGAATACATGCCTGGTGGGGACCTTGTGAATTTAATGAGCAACTATGATGTTCCGGAGAAATGGGCAAGATTTTATACTGCTGAAGTTGTACTTGCATTAGATGCAATTCACTCAATGGGTTTTATACACAGGTGAAAAAGAAAAAAGTGTCACATAGTGGTGTTTTATTCCTGGTGCTGCCAGAATTACTTCAGTAATTGTTTAGGCAGTTTTAAAATTTATGATGTTACTACTTCATTATTATTTCATAATTATTCTGTCTTTACAACTTCAAAGATTCTTGCCATCAGAAACTATAAGTTTGAGGTGATACAGTCAAAGTAAAGGTTTTCAGCAGGCTGATGTTCCTCAGTTTAGGGAGGAATAAAATTGTCCCACTTTACCAAGAGATACAAGAACTAAAGTGGTATGAACATGTTGGCCCTAAAATGGTTCTTTTCTTTTGATTAGAAAAAGCTGTTTTGGGAATTTGATAGCAGTAGTATCCACTGTTAGGAATTATTAACTCTCTGCTCTGCATTTGAAGCCTCAGCTGGCATCAAAGACCTATTAAACAAGAATCTGTGAACAATGTGAGGAAAATCTCCCAGCTACATGTTTTCTTGTAAGGGGCAAAATGGAAAATCGAGGTGCAGAGCGAAGGGACTTGGCTTAGTTTCATATTATGTACTTGCCCTAAAGTGAAATGTAGGCACTTCTCAGATAGGTTGAGAAGTTTTCTTTTTGATATTTTAACTTTTATCTGTTGTTAACTTTCAATTGTATTAACTAGGAGCAGAAGAATATTTTTTTCAACAGAAAATACAGGAAGAGTTTGAGGAAGACATAGTATATAAATTCTGAATTTGTAATTTGTCCAGAAGATCAGTGTTAACATGTAAGCTTTTGCAAAAAAGCAAAAGCAAAGCAAAACAAAATACTAATCCATTGCTTGAGTAGGATCTAGAGCATCTTTAATTATGTAGCTGTGCTACATCTAGTGGATGAATTATCTGGCTGAACGAACCATTTGTACGTGTGTATTGCAAGCTTTAGAAAGCAGGCATTAGAAGTTGCCAGCAGCGAGTTTTTTTCCCTAAAAATTCAGATTATTTTGACACCAGCAGATTTTTGGAATTTGTTTTCCACTGGAGTTAGTCTGTTCAAATCTGAGGAATGAAAAGAAACTGATGAAAATGTAGGCCCACTGCTAAATGGATCAGGGACCTAGTGACAAAAGACATGGAAACAGCTGAGGCTGCCGCCTTTGCCTCAGCCTTCGTTGATAAAGTCTGCTTTCAGGCCTCTCAGGTCACTGTGCCTAGTGGCAGAGCTTGGGAGAATGAAGCATTACTGAGGCAGAGGAAGACCAAGCTGAGTCCCAGTTATGCTAACTGTCCAAGGCACCAAGTGGGATGTACCAAGGGTCGTAAGGGAGCTGGCCAGTATCCTAATGATACTGCTCTCTGTCACCTTTGAAAGGTTGCGGCAATTGGGAGATTCCTGATGACTGGAAAGAAGCAAATGGCACACCCATCTTGCCCTGAGAAGGGCAAGGAGGGGAGGACCAGGGGAACTGCAGGACAATCAGCGTAAGAGCAGTCTTTGGGAATCTTACGGAGTAAATTCTCAGGAAACCCATTTCCAAGCACGTGGATGGGAAGGTGATTGGGAACAGCCTGCATGGCTTTACCAAGGGTAAAGCATGCATTACCAACCCAATTGTCTTCTGTGATGAGATGATGGGCTCCACTGATGAGGGGAGAGCAGCATGTGTTGTTTGTCTTGACTTCAGCAAGGTTTTTGATATAGCCAGATTGAAAAGATACAGTTTGAATAAGTAGAACAAAGGGTTGTGCTCAGTAGTACAATGTCCAGTGGTTGATACTGGGGTCAGCACTATGTTTTCATTCACTACATGAACAGTGTTCAGGTAAGACAGAAAGCATCATTCATCAGCTGCCCAGCAGGACTTTACAGAAAAGGTGGAGTCAGACTTGAAGTTCATACCGAAAAGATGAAAGGCAATGGACAAGTTGCAGCAAGGGAATATCTAGCTCTTCATTAGGAAATATTTTTTCACTGTGAGGGTGGTCAAACAGTGTAAGAGAGTCTTAGAGAGGTGGTGGAATCTCAGTCCTTGAAAAAAATTCAAAACTTGACTGGAATTGACCCTGAGGAACCTATGTAACTTTGAAGTTGAATCTAACTTTGTTAGCTGTACTTTGATCAGGCAATTGAACTAGGTGTCTTACAAAAATACCTCCCAACCAAAATTATTCTGTGAGTATACTGATACATTTCCACTGCACTTCATTTCACAGTTACCGCCAGAGTTCTCCTTTGAGGTCCCAGAAATAGGCTTTCTTCTGAAATTCATGTTATGTTTTCTTGATAATTGCTTTCTACTATTATTCTGCTTCAGTATATTTAATAACATTAGATGTGCTGGACTTTACCAATTACTTTATAAAAACTTATTTTCTATAACGGAAGTACTTTGTGGAAAAGGGCATAAGGCAATACTCCTTTTGAGCCACGGAAAAATATTTATGCACTTTAATATAATTCTGAAAATGACATCCATTTGTTCCCTTAAAATAGAAGTTGTACAGAGAAGAAGCTATGTTTTCAAGGTTTGTTTGAGATAGCTAACTCAGAACCATAATGGATTTTTTTCTGTAGCTGGATCCTAGCAGAGAGGGTACTTCAACCAGTGAGTGTTTTTTAGGAACTTCAGCTTCAACATTAATGTCCAGATTTGTTAAATTTGGTGACTTAAGACTGTATTCCCACATTCATTATGATTTTTTTAAATGTTGTAGTTCAGCAGCCCATGATACATGAGAAAGCAGAAAAAAATGGAGGAAATAGTGGTGCTTTCATGTTGGTGTTTTTCCTTGCAATGTTGCATCTGAAAAATAGTTGGCTGTTACTGTTTTCGTAAGTTAAATTGATTTATTTACTTTTAAACAAATACATTTTTCTCCTTTCAGAGATGTGAAGCCTGATAATATGCTGCTAGATAAAGCTGGTCATTTAAAACTAGCAGATTTTGGTACTTGTATGAAGATGAACAAGGTAAACATGTTTTTAATTTCGCTTTTCTATTTGTGAAAGGAAAACATACTTGAAAGTGAAAAGAAAATATACTGAAAACTTTAGCTAGATGAGAAAAGTCGAAAGTTCCACTCTGTTCCTATTACTATTCTTTATGCATCCTATTCAATGACAATGTAGAATGCAGAAATGGTTCTTGAAGTAGGGACTGTATCAACTTCTGTTCTGTTTCCTAGAGGAACTTTTTGAAGTCAAATCTTTGATTGTCTCTAGATCCTCTGGATTATTTAAGTCTTCGGTTATCAAAAGTGAATGCGAAAAAGTGAGATTATTTTTCCGTAGTGTGTCAGTAATGAAAGAATCAAAACTGATGTACAAGTTGCTGAATCCTAATTGTACTTATTAGCCATATGCTGACATAGCAAAAGGGCAAATCTGAAGGCAACAGGTTAAAGAAAGTCATAGAATTATATATTTTCTAAAATATATCCTGAGGTCACTAAAAAAAATTAATTTACAACAGTATTTCACATACTGTGAAGCACTGTTGTTCCCTACACAAAACTCTGATCAGTTTGTGTCAGCCTGCACATATATATGAGGAAAACGATCTGAAATACATGGTTCTTTATAGTAGAGTCTGTGTAATATGTACATTGTGTTCTCAACATATTCCAGGAGCTTTGAATAAATCACTGTATTCAGCTGCTTTGTCAAAAATAAAAGGCACCAATGAAAATCAAGTGCAGGTTATGTGTACAAATTCAAGGAGTTGCCTCAAGTCACAAACAGTCCACTTCAGTGGAATAGCTGACACAAAATTTGGCTTTGTTTTGACTTAATACAGATTTATCCTTGACTGACTGTATTCTTAACAATGAGGAATTTTGAAATATAGAAAAACATTGTCCTAGTGTTTAAGCTGCAAGTGCTAAAAAATAATGGAAAAAATATTACGAAACTTTGCTGTATATTAGCATTACAGAAGTAAACTTGTGTCAACAACACATTAGATTTTGTGCTGTTCTAAACAAAGCTAGCTGAGTAGTCTTCAGCCTACTGTTGGATTCCTCTAGTTGTTTGAAAGAGAAAGGTTACTCTGTGGGAGAGAAACTGTTCAGCATAGGAGCTTAATTTAGGTACATTCTGGATTTGCCGCATATACAACACTGGATTTATATTTGTTATATTTACTTAGTTTTATATTTTTATGCAAGTTTTCTACTGATCTATTTCTAGGAATGGCATAGGATTATTTCAGAAGTGCCTGAGTGGCACTGGTAAAGGGGTGCGTGGTTGTAGCTTCAGCATTCTAGATGCCAGCTCTGGTGTGACTGATCTCTGTTCTGCCAGCCCTTTCTCAGGGGTGTGAGGAATGCCAAACGTTCTTCTCACCTGTTACCTGTTTTGAAGTCTGTGTACTTAGAGTTTCAAGGCCCTGTCTACCTTTAGTCTTCCTGGCATTAAGTATATTGCGTCGGAGGTGAAAAGCTTGCACTTCAGCTGATCCTGTCAGCAAAATCCCTGGTGTTGACCCATTTATGCTAACAGAGGAGCTTTCCCTGTTTACGGTACATCCTGTCAGTATATGACACATTTATACTGGCATGAGCAGGAGAGGCTATGCAGTGTTTACAGGGCCTAGATGCAATTCTGATTACTTCTTGGATATTAACTGAGGTTTTTAAAGTGACTTTCACTGTGGTTGACAAATCTGGTGCTTTGTTCTGGATTTAGTACCTTAGAATTTAAAAATGTTAAAATACCCATTCAAAAAAGAACATTTGTTGGTGAAAGTTGATGTTGATCTATTGATGTTGCTTTGGCTGCATAAACTCTTGGAAATGGCTTGCAATTTTGGATCTTATATTTGGGCCTGGCTGTTTTCCTCTTCTTTGTAGGAAGGTATGGTACGATGTGATACGGCTGTGGGAACACCAGACTATATCTCTCCTGAAGTATTGAAGTCCCAGGGTGGTGATGGTTACTATGGGCGAGAATGTGACTGGTGGTCAGTTGGAGTCTTTTTGTATGAGATGCTTGTAGGTGAGTAGTAGGATAATCGGAATTGACTATACTACTTAACTAGACTCCACGTTAAAATCACTGTTGTTTTTAACTGTTTAATTTATTATTCTTCTGACATAAGCTGTGGTTTACTGATCATGGTATTTACAGAGTATGTTTTAGAAATATTCTGGCACAGTTCTCAAACATTTGTTCTTGCCTCTTGTTCAGTTAGTTGCTTCCATTGTTGCATGTATAGTTCAAATGTAATAAATCAAATCTACAATACTTTTGATCTGCTTTTTAATTTTTGCATTGCTTTTTCAGGTGATACACCTTTTTATGCAGATTCTTTGGTTGGAACATACAGTAAGATTATGAACCATAAGAACTCCCTTACTTTCCCTGATGACAATGAGATTTCTAAAGAGGCAAAAAACCTTATTTGTGCCTTTTTAACTGATAGGTAAGGTTTAAACTTTACTCAAAATGAAAGTAAGCCTTCATTCAGAGAATTTCTTCTCATGTTGAAAAAACATATATATATATATATTTGTTTTGTGTGGGCTTCTAAACTGCTTGACAGAATAGCGTGTTTGGGAGAGGAGTCACCAATGGTTGCTGCTGCTCTTTATGGTAGTAGCATGTATACTGGTGGAAGTGCTGCTACTATGGGTACGTCTACCTTATAAATTCAGTTCGAATATGAAGTGTTACTCCTTAGTAACAGCTACTGTTACCTTGGTCTGTGTTGCATAGTGTTGAGGGGCATGCAAAACGGATTCCTTTTGGATGAAGCTAAAGCAAAAGGTGCATTTCAGGAGTGCCCTTAGCTCTTAGTGGGCGTTCAGGATCAGGGTGGAGTCAGCCCAGAGGAAGCCCATGTGAAATGTGGGTGTTAGGTCTGTTTCGCTTTGTGAGTACACTCCTGTTGCACCCCCGCTACTTATTAATACAAGCATAACCTTTGCTTGAGAACTGGTGCTACGGAGGAGGGGGGCTGCTGCATTTGCTGGACTGCATGGGATTCAAACAACAGGATGAACTCCTAGAAAAAGTGGAACCTAGCTGCTGCTTCGCAGCTGCCTAGCCAGTCCATGATGGTGGAAACAGTAGTAGCAGGACTTCTTATCGACCAGACTTAAAACCAGACTGTGTTCTGAAATGTAGCTGCTCTGCTCCTGTAGATATCTTCATATGAAAACTTTGAGATATGTCTATTTCTTAGCTTAGTTTGAGAGGTAATTTTTGTCTTTGTTGTTAGATTATGCCTTAGAATGAGTCTTTCCTTCAGAATAATTTATGTAATCTTCCATGCTTAACCAAAACACTCTTTAACAGGGAGGTAAGGCTAGGACGAAATGGCGTAGAAGAAATTAAACGGCACCTTTTCTTCAAAAATGATCAATGGGCTTGGGAAACTCTCAGGGACAGTAAGTATAATGCTTTTCTCAGAGACAGTGATCTGGCTTACTTACATATTGTGTTAGCAAAAGGACTGCCATATTTCTTTTTAGTGGAATTTAAAGTTTTATTTACCTCTGTAAAGGAAAGAGATTTCTTAGACACCAAAGAGAAATTCCCCCCCAAAATTCTTGATTGTGTTACTTGAATAATACAATGATCATTATCATACTATTGTGCTTTTTTTCTAGCTGTAGCACCAGTTGTGCCTGACTTAAGTAGTGACATTGACACTAGTAATTTTGATGATCTGGAAGAAGACAAAGGAGAGGAAGAAACATTTCCCATACCAAAAGCATTTGTGGGCAACCAACTTCCTTTTGTAGGATTTACGTACTACAGCAACCGTCGGTACGTATGCAGAAAGCAAGCTAATGGCGTATTCTTTTGTCAACACTGTTTCTGACTCTTACCAACCAGTATTTAGATATAAGCCTTTTCAGATTCATATTAACAATTCAGAATCCTAATAAATGATACTGTCTTGACACTTCGATAATGATAACCAGTATTGCTAGTCATCAATACCTTAAAATATCACACTGAATTTGTGAATGTCTTATTCTGCATTAAGAATATTATATAGTGGTGCTGCAGAAGCTAAGCAAGAAAAATTCACTGTTGTTGCTACTAGGCAGAGCTGCCTGCAGAGCACTGAATTATATGTATAGAGTCATGAATCACAGATGTGAATGTCACTTTGTTTTACTGCAAATTACTATTCCTGAGCTGTATATGAAGATTCCATACTTTACATCAGTGTTTTAGCATGTGGTAAATTAAACCCTGGCTTACTAGAAATGAAATATTTTCTACTTGCCTGTCATCTGCTTCATAATTTTTCTTTTTTTTTTTTCCCCAAAGTGTGCACCCACTGCAGAGTGAGATTGTGATGCCTTACCATTTTCACTGTTGCTTAGGAGACTTTAAATTACGTCGATTAAAATTATATTAATTCATACTTTCAACAGTCATTATTATTGTAGGCACTAAGAATAGCTATTTCTACATTCAAAAATCTCGATAACTTTTTCTTACTTTGAAAGCTGCTTTTAATTACAGTGGGTGTCAGGCTTAAAATGGGCTAAAACTTCTTGTAGACCATGTCAGATAGAGACTATTAGTTTCAATGGCATTTCTAGATAGGAAAGCCTTAAAGGAGATAAATCTGTTTTTCATCGTTAGATAGAAGAGGAACCACTTTTCCAAGCCTGTGGTGAAATTCTTTCCATCTCTGCAACGAGTTGAATTTGTTGTTGCTTTGTGCATAGTAAGGCGTTAGAAGGACTTGCAAGCTTTGCTTACAGTTTGTGTGAGTTCAGCAGTTCAGGAATTTCACCTACTGTTCTGATTTTAGTCTATAATTTAAAAAGTCTTAATTTTTGCCTTGCAGGAAGATTTTGGAATATGTTATCAAGAAGGTGAAGTAGCATACAGAAGCTTGTTAATAACAACAAAATTTCTTCTCTCCCCCTATTCCTTCTTGGGGGACAGTGTCAGGAATTTAGAGAACTAACTGGCTGTGTTTTGCTGTCATTGAAGAACTCTGCTACTAAATACTATCGTAACTTTGTAGGCTTACTAGAACTAAAATGCTGTCCTAGAATTGAATTTTGTCCCATAATACTCTGCTGGTGTGATAGTCTTGAAAAGTCTGAAGCAACCATTCGTACTTGCTAAACTTGTAATCCTAATTTTTATTCCCTTTTTGTATTGAAAATAGTTCAAACGTTTAAAAAATTGCATATTTAGAAAAAAGTTGCACATTTATCTCCACCTTCCTTCGATTTCATCTTATTCATGTACGCTGGAGAGTTTAAAGAAACGGAAATCTAGGAAAATGATGTGACTTATGTCCTTAAAGGAAGTAGTACAATCTTTCAGTATAGAATACTTTCTACAGCTGTAATCTCATTGATTGTAAACTAGGAAATATGGTTGTTTATTATTGAACTTCACCTGTAACACAGGTTTTGGAATACTAGCTGAGAACACTTTGCAGCCCTATCTGGCTTGTGTGTTCTGTTCTGGATTCTGATGGAGGTGGTGCTGTGCATATCACATTCTCAACAGCCCTGGTGTGCAAAATATGGTGGCTTCTTGTACTCAAGACAGCAAGCCCCTTTCTGTAGGGAACTGTTCCATTTCCATTTTGTAATTTGATTGTCTGAAAGCAGTCTTGATGTTTAATTTGACCTTGGCTTTGGAGACGTCTTTGATTTTTACCCTTCTGGATCTTTTGGAGAGGTTTTTGTATGTGTGAAAATATGCGTGTGAAACAAAAAGATCTGTCCATCTTCCTCAGTTCATGTGTTGGAGAGTTTTTCCTCACATAATCTGAAGCAGTTAGAGATGCTTTATGTCTCTCTAGATCAGTTTTCAGGCCAAGAATATCACATAAAATACCAAAGAAATTTGAAGATAGCAATTTGTATTTATTTACCTGACTTCAGAATCATGACAAATAGAAATTTATGGTATTTTTAGGAAACACTTACGTAAAATAAGAACACTGGCTTCAGGGCAAGCTTTTTGTGTGTGGAACTCTTAGTAACTTTGTTGGAAGTTACACAATCTCTGCAGAGTTCGCTTCATTGCTGCTACTTGCTGCATAAGTGCCTGAGTAAATATTTATGGGATGGAAGCCAATGAGAGTGTTGTAACCATGGAAAGCAAAGATTTTTTTAATGGTTATTAAAAAAAAGAAAAGTGGTTGAATTAGTATTTGGCAGAAATCCTTTTTTCTGGAGGTCTTCTACTGCAGTTTTCTGCTTTACCCTTTGCAATAAATTATGTAAGGTTTTCAATTAAATGTGCTTAAATCTTAGAGTATAATAAATACAGAAACGAAAAAATCTGATTATGTTGTTATTTGTTTATCTACATTTTGGAGAAAAAATCTGGGGGTTATGTTTTAGGATGATTGTATTCTGTTTTTTCATAACCTTGCTTTTAAACAACTCTTAAAATAAAACTGTTTAAATGTTGTTACAGGTATTTAGCTGTCTCTGCAGAAAATTCCAATGATAACAGAACAGGCTCCAGTGTGGATAAAAGTGTGGTATGTCTTACTGATTTTCAGCTTTGTTGGATCCTAGCAAAGAATCTATTGCATATATGGGAATAAACTGTTTGAGTTCTAAATGTCTCAAATTATTTTAGTGCTTGGAGGATGGGAAATCAACGCCTAAATTCTAAGTGTTTAGTATGGCCTGCCTATTAAAGTTATTGGAAGAGCAGAATTTCAGTTCTTCATATAACATTGGTTTTCCTGAATTGGGATAAAATAGCTGAAACTGCATACTCTTTTTGTGGAACTGGATTCACAGTTTTTATCTTTAGAAATATCAAAGTGTTTGTGCAGTATTTTTAGAGTGCCTTATCGATCCCAGGTGTACGCTGGCTTTGTGGCAATCATGGAGTCTGGACGTGAGTGTGGCGGGAAGCTTGGGCTTTCCAGCAACCTGCCAGTTTAATTCTGGAGCTGGACTTCCTGTGAACTAAGAGGGAGGTGGCAGATAGTGTACCACACGTGGATATTCTCCTCCTTCCCAAGGGAGCCCCACAAGCTATTGGGAATTGGGGCACTGAGGATCTGCATTTATAGAGTAGTTCACCTGGCAAGAATGTTCAGGAATTTTTTCTGGAAGGAAGTTACTGCTTCCCAAGCTTCTTGGCAGTCAGGTTTCCAGGAAGGTACGCTGAGGTGTTGGAAACAAAGCCTGCTTGGATTCTGTGTAAGTTCTGGTGTAAGTCAAGCTATTCCCTTAGAATGATCTGATATTTTACAAATTACACTCTCTCCAGAAGAAAAAACTGTCAAAAAAATGGTGATTAACTCTAAAAGAAATCTTCTTGGCTTTGACTATGATTTACTTTGTTAGTATTTTGTTTTGTTTTTCCATGTAAAGTAGAAGAGAAGCAGATGTCGATGCATGTTGCCCTTTCTCTTAAACTTGCAATATAAAGGTTTTAATGATATATGGTATTACCCAGAGAAAATTTGTAAAGGGCAGGGGAACTGATTATGTACTTTATTGGGTAACTGAATTTATTAAGCATTGAAGTGACTTGATGTCTTTATGTATGTTGATGTGTTCCATAAATTTTGTTTCCTCATAAGCATTTGGCTGTTGATATGGTAAAATTAAAAACAGAGCCAGACTTTCAAATATTTGCAGATACTTAAAGCTGTGTGCTGGCCTTTGGTTGACTTTGAAGAGAGTTATGAATGAACTTGGCATAGTTAGTGGGATACAGGCACCTGCATGTAGTTAAAGATCCCTCAAGAGTCCTGTCCGTATTGTCAGGTGTATTTGAATGTCTTGTGATTTTAACAGTTCTGGGATGTGAAGCTCTGGAAGGATATGAGTGGTATAGAGAGGTTTAAATAAATGTTAAGTCTTTACTACAAGGTATTTTTACCCCACAGTTCTTTCTCAGCTGTTTTTCTTTCATTTCATGCTGCAATGAAAACGGTAATGTTGACACATGGTTAGCAAATTAATTAGTTCTGGAAATGTAACACAAGATGTAACCTTGTCTATCTGCATGTTGGCATGGTACTGAGTGTCTTCTGAGTGACAGAAATTTCCAAGAAATTCATTGAGGTTTGCACGTGTGTAAAACTTCACAGAATTAGGCCATGAAGTTGGAGTAGAATGGAATTCAGTGTCCTTTAACTGAATTTCAAACCTCTTTGAATATCTGATTATTTACTTTGCTTTAGTGCTACCATAACCACCTGTAAACAGTTCAGATATTAAGAAAGAGGAGATGAACAGATTCTTTTGCACTGGGTCTTTGGTTTTCTTCATGGTTCAGGGTGCAGAACCAGATGCACTATGCCATGGTGATAAAAAAAAAGTGTATGGCAATTCCAGAGAGAATTTTCTTGGCTTCTCTGCTGTAGGCAGGCTTTTCCATATTCCTTTCCGCCCCCGCCTCCTACTCAAAATGGAAACTGAGAACAAACTAAACATGAAGGAATGCTTTTATACTGAGTTAATTGTAACTCAGGATTTTCTTAAGGTATTATTTAGTCTATTGATATCAGATTGTGCAGAACTTCTCTGGAAGCCTGCTGTCTCGTACTAATGTAATTAGACATTGTAATTAGCAAGCTTAGATAGGCCCCTTGGGGTACAGCACTATAAAGCATCCAGAGACAGAAAGAAGCAAAGGAGGCAGTAAAGGTCCAAACTAGTAGAAGTCAATACGGAAATGCCTCGGTTGCCAGATGTCTTTTTGGACCTGTTCCTCATCCATCCCATTTAGTTCTTTCATGCAACCTGTCTGGAAGGGCTATAAAATGAGTTACCAAGAAATGGAAGAGCAATTATGTTGAAACTTCCTTATCCTTTATTTTTGTGCATTAGCTGTGGTCCCTTTTTACTAAAGTGAGAGCTAGCCTTTAAGTAGTCTTGCTTCTTGATTTCTCCGTGGTTCATACCAAGGAGATAAATGTGTTGTGTACTGGTCCTCCTTCCTTTTTCCTCAAAGTTTAGATTTAGAGGCCATTTCTGTGGTTTTTGACTACAACCATTGTTTCATCCATATGGTGTTATGTTGTATATCATATCAGTAATTGGTTTTCCAGAGCTGTTCTGTAAGTGCTGAGAAGTCTATTTCTTCCAGTATTTCCTTGCTGTCTCAAGGCTTTGTGGTAGGTAGTGGTAAATATACAGAATAGAGTGGTGAATATATAAAATATGTAGTTTCTGCTTAGTACCCAGTCTCCATGTCTCTGTTCTTCCTCTGAAAACTTCAGAGCAGCTTAAGAACATGGAAGAAAGAGAAAGGAGGAAATGAGAAAGGATCTCCAGTTCTTGAGAGCACCCGAGTGCTCCATGCTTTATTTCCTACTACAATGGGAAGGAGAACAGATTGAAAGTAGGAAGTAAGAAAAACGCCTGCCTGGAAGTAGGCAAAAATAATCTTACCTATAACTTTCTCATTTAATATGGACAAAGCATGCTATAATAGTCTCCAAACTGAAATCTTAGTTTAGGACTGTACAGAGGGCAGTCCTTATTGAGAACACTCACTGTTACTATCAAGAAAGAATGGAGAGAAGCGTAATTTGTCTCCTTTTCATGATTCAGCGAGCAGTTCTAGTTTCTCTGAGTATATTTTGTGGGAGAAGGAAGAAAGGAGGAGGCAGATGTAGGAGGAACTGTTCTGTTGCTCCTTTTTCTGGCATGATTGTGCAAAAGGAGTCAGGCAATTGTCAGTTTTTGAAGTTAGAACAAGGAACAAGAAAGCAAAGGGTCGGAACCACTTGAATATGTTGCTTTGAAGAGAGTCTAGGTTAGGACTGTAATTCTTCTCTATGCAGTTCCAAGAGTGTTGAGGGAAATGTGGGAAAGCTAAATAAGGCTGAAATCCTGACAAGATCAGCGAAAAGGTTTAAAAGAGTGAATCAGCGTGGGCTTGGCTTAATGAGCTTCCTCAAAGTTGACACCATCTTGTTAATTGAGGATTTTGCTGATATTGGAGTGGGATTATTGTGCCCAGAGATGCAGTAGAAAGTAGGTATTTTGAGACTACATGAAAAGAATGGATTTCTGAATTTATCTTGCTGGCAAACAGTACATGATGTACAGTAATGTTCTGCATTAACATCTGAAGTTTGTTACTATTTTCAAACCCTGGTACAGTGATAGCTGTAAAAATTATCTCTGACTAAATAGATGTTAAGAGCATTTTCTCCCCATTGCTAATAACTGACAGGCCTGGTTCTGCTTCCTAAACTTGCTGAGAGCTTGAAGATGCGTTGCAAAATACATGTGATGGTTCATGCTAGAAAAAGAACTTTTGAGACTAACTAAAATGCTTTCTTATATCTTTGCAGTAATATCTTTAGTCTGATTCTGAAGATACTTAAAACAAGGAGGATTTGACTTAGTTTAGCCCCGTGAATTTTGACAAAACTATTCAGAACCCTAAAATTTTATGTGCGTTCAAATGATAAAACTGCATAATATTAAAGTTGTTTCTTGTAATTAACTTTTTTAGTATTGGGGGGGGGTGTGGGATCACATTTTAGTAAGGTAAAAATCTAGTATTTGGATAGAAGCAAGTAAGCTGTGATACAACATAAGCAGCACTGAATATTCTGAAATACTTTTTGAAGTTTTTAAATTTAATGCATGTTCTTTCATGTATAAATATATATTTAAAGCTGGAAAATATGCAGAAGATGATCTATGAGTTGGAAGAACAACTACATAATGAAATGCAGTTGAAAGACGAAATGGAGCAAAAGTGCAGGTGAGACTTTGAACTTTAATTGTTTACATAATTTAAATACATCTAACACTTCAGTTCTGCGTTACTGCTTTAGGGATTACCAGAATAACACTAAGAATGGCACTGTAGTTCTCCAAGGGAGTTCCAATCACAGGTTTAAGTCATTCTAAACCAATATTTAAATTATTTTCTTTAATACAGTATGAAGAAAATGTTTTGTTTTCATTGCACTCATGTAACACTTACTCTTTCTGAACACTTGAATGTTTGAGTTTATCCGATATCTCTAAATTCAGATGTTTTATTGGACTGAGGTTCACGATGATCATGCTGATTTTTTTAAAAACGTAAAGTACTGTATATACAGCATATATTGGATTATTAAAATTAACTGTCTGGTTTCTAAATACCTGGTACTTGTTGGAAAACCACATCCCTTTTTTTTTCCTGTGACTGATAGATAAGACAACTATTTGCTTTCTAAAGTCTTGTTTCTGCCATGTTGAAGAAGTAGCTACGTGAGAATTTGCCTATTTCTTGCAGCTACACTTATGAACAAACAGTTGGGATTCTTCTTTTCTGATAATCAGAAATTTTTACTCGGATTCATGCAAACCAAATTCCCTTTCAGTTAGCTTTTCCTTTTGAAGTTTTGTCCTGAAGGCCTAAATAAAGCCAGGAGACAACACTAGGTATAGGATATAGGAAGAATTTAGGCTTGTGAATTAGGACCATAGTGTGTAGTTGTACAAGCTACTTATGTGGGAACTGGTAGCCAAAATGGTCTGGTGGGAATTTAGACTGTGTGACACTGTTGCTTACTTAAACACAGCTTCACTGTTCACATGTCCCAATTCCTTTCCACAAGCAGGACATACATTGCTTGAAAAATATTCAATAACTGTCTTCCTGCAGTACTATTGCAGTTGTCAGAGCACAACAGTGTGTCTTCTGATACACCGTACTGTTTACTGCAGAGTTAGTATATAAGAAATATTGCTGTAACTGCTCCTGATTGTACCTGCCAGGTAACATTGTCAGGGTTCTTTTTGTTATCTCTTTGAAGAGGGATAGCTAGCTACAAAAATGCAATGGGTGTGTCAATGTTATTGCCAGTTAACTGAGGTTTTACTATGCACTTAACCTCACTCTCTCTATAGTACTATGTTCTAATGCATTGCTTCAACAGAGAGACTTTTAAATAATATTATTCAAATATCTTTATCCATAGTAGAGAGCTGTCTACTGTTGAATTAATGAGCCATTTTAGATATTTGGAAAGTTCACGACTGGAGGAAGTTTTCGCAGTTCACCAGGGTATTCTAATTTTAATTATAGCCTGTTGTGTACATACACTGTTTTTACATTTGCAGATTAAGGGAGAAAATGTGGCACCTAAAGTTTTGCATATATAATTTGCAGCAAAGTTGATAAATACTTAATAATGTATTTTACAGATTATTGCCAGTGATTGATTGTTTTCTTCAATTTCAAATGTTTATTAGAAAATAGCATTAGCCAAAATGTAAATGTTCACTTTAATAACGATCCCAAATTATGTCACTAGAAAAACACTATGTATAATGTATCCTTCTCAAATATTACTTAAATGATTTTCTTTTATTTTTAGATCTTCAAACATAAAGCTAGACAAGATCATGAAAGAACTGGATGAAGAGGTAATTTTTTTTCTCACTGAAGCCTTCTTAGTTGGGTAAAGAATGTGGATAGTACTTTCATGATTTAAGATACTTCTTCTGTGATTAAAAAAATTGTTCTGAGTTTAAATTTGAGACCAAACCATCACATTTCAATATGTAGCATTTGGAGATACATTTTTATTTGTACACATTTTCAAAAACTTTTTCATTCTGCGAGTCACGCTGAATTCTTTTTCCTCTGCTAAATGTTTTGCTTAGTCTTGTTCATTGCAATTTCACTGGAGTTTATCAAAATCAGTTACTCTAAAAATGAATGCACAGATGATTTTCTGTTGAGTCCTCATGTTGTCTCTTAATAATAATTTTAATAGCTACTTACATATAATCATGTTAACGATAACTTTTCTAGTAATTTCATAAATTTGTCACGTAGAAGTTAAAAAAGCCATCTTTTCTGGAAACCTTTTCAAGGAAGCCAGAAACTCACTCATTGGAAACGATGCATCAGTTTCCTTGATTAATTTCTTGCAGAGATACTGATTTAGGGATCATTCCTTAAAATGTAAATAGAAAATACCAATGCTTTTAATTTTAGGGAAATCAAAGAAAGAACTTGGAATCAACAATATCTCAGATTGAGAAGGAAAAGATGGTATTGCAACATAAGATAAATGACTACCAAAGAAAAATTGAACAAGAGAATGAAAAAAGACGGAATGTGGAAAATGAAGGTATGCCATGTTGTCCAAACATTGATACTGATGAGGTGCATGATGTGTTTTGGGGAATAATTTACTACCTTAGCATCTTGAGTACTATGCAACTTTAAAGGGATCTTTTCAAATAATGAACACAAATTTTGAGTTTATTTTTATTTGAGTTTTAACGAGAACACAGTATTTTTGTCTTATTTTCAAATTCTGTTCTCTATAGTGTGCGTTGTTGTTCTGCAAGCACAGAATTTGACCTAAAAATGTATATAAGAAGTAAAAAGTCAACGAAAGACCTGTTATGTGCCAAGAATTTATTTGAGCATGTTTGTGTAAAAAACAAAAACAAAAAAACCCCCCACCAAACCCAAAACAAAACCCCAAGCAAAATCCTAAGGATTTTTTTACTCTGATGTATTAATGGTGTAATTTGTCTTTAGTGTCCACACTAAAGGATCAGATGGAAGACTTGAAAAAAATCAGCCAGCATTCACAAATTACAAATGAGAAGATAACACAATTACAAAAACAAGTATGTTGCTTCTGTTCATTTTCTTCATTATTTCTTAATTTGAGAAGCAATATTGAGCATTCAGATATAACAAAACTGGTCCCATTCATTTTTATATTTTAGAGTCTTGTCTGTTTTATTTTAACAGCTAGAAGAAGCAAATGATTTGCTGAGGACAGAATCGGATACAGCAGCAAGACTGAGAAAGGGTAACACAGAAATGAGCAAGTCATTAAGTCAGGTAGAATCACTGAATAGAGAACTGCAGGAAAGGTGCAGAGTTCTAGAAAGCACAAAACTGCAGGTGGAGAAAGATTATTACCAACTGCAAGCAGCTTTGGAGTCGGAACGAAGGGACAGAAGTCACGGATCTGAAATGATTGGAGAACTACAGGGTAATTCTTCTGTATTTATACTTTACCAAAAAAGTTGTGATAACCCTACATTATTAAATAAAGTACAGTTGCATAAAGGGAGGACAGCCAACCTGCAAAACTGAGTGTGACTTAACAGAACGATTTCTGAAGATTGGATCTTGCTTCCTGATCATGTCTGAGAGGCTCTTGGGAGGGAGAGTATCAAAATCAAAGAGTGGGAAACCACTAATTACAAGTCTGTGGGGCTGCCCTGACTAGAAAGTCTGAGTCCAGTGGTACAAAAATATGAAAAGCTGATACAGTGCTAGAGAAGACACAACACTCCAACTTACTGCCTTGGTGCAGTACCCAAGTTGACGTACCCCATGCTTTCTTTTCTTTTGTTTGTGGGGAAAGTTATTTTGTTGTTAAATTGCATTTGTTTTCATAAAAGAAAAACATTGTTTTACATGCTTTATGTTACTTAAAAGCAAGATGAAAAGCGTAGTAAGGGATGCAGATGTGGAATCCCTTTTTCAGGATGCTTGGAACTTTTTACCATTTGTACTTCTGATTCTTTATACTAGAAACTATTCAGATATGTTAGTTTGTGACTGTGCCTATGCTAATGGATCCTGCCTTTTAACTTGTCACTTTAAATCATCTGTCTGCAGCATTGAAAATCATTTTCCATGAGGCACAATCTTTTGTTGAGGACTTTTGGGTGGGTTTGGTTTTGGTTTTTTAAGGTAAACTTTGCTACCACAAAGAAAGAACTATCAAGAATCAAGTTGCCTGTTTACTGTGCTTCAAGTATAGTAAATCAATTTCAGTTGAATGATTGTGAAGTTCCTCTGAAATGACTGAGTATAGTTTGATCCAGTCTGTTGTTAATTGCAAGCAGGGGTGCAAATGGCATGAGAAGACTATTCTGTGCATTTCAAAATGTTTTTGACCACATTCAACTCAGCAGCCTGCGGGAAAAAGATCTTTTTCTGAAGGGTGTAGGGTTTTGAGGTGCTTTGCTGGTATATACCCAAATAGCTTTATGTAATTCAAATACTCATACAGCTGTTTCTAAAAGCACATTTAAAATGAATGAGAAAATTATAAGATTTAGGAAGACTTTCTGTTCTTCCATCTCATAGTTTCTTACATATTGCCAGGATGTCTCTTTATACTTAAAAATTAAGTGAAGCGGACTGTACTGTAGACAGATGTATTTGAATTGGTAGGTTTATTTTTGTATACTGTATTTAAGGTATTAAGTGTAATATAGAATAATCAAAAAAAATTTA